CCCTGAGGGTGGAGCCAGGTGAGACGCCACGTGAGCTTTATGTACGACTGAAAGACTTGTTTTCAAGATGGGTTAAACCTGAGAAATCTACTGTACAAGAAATATCTGAGCAGATAATTCTGGAGCAGTTTTTGAGGATGGTTAATCCAGAGTTGGGGATATGGATACGGGAGCGTGACCCGAAAACGGCGAAAGAAGCAGCTGGCCTCGCAGAGGTGTTCACATCCGCCAGGAAGGGGAGCAAGAGCACCTGTTTTGCCCGGGAGACCCACTATGCCCAACCAAGTAAGTCCAATGGGGGTGAACAGGGGTTTGGTCAGGTTCAGGCTAGAACTATGTCTAGTTCAAGGCAGATTCCTTCCTATAGAAAACATAGTGGTAAAAAGTCATTTCCGAAGCCCTCAGCCCAAGACGTAAGATGTTATAATTGTAATAACTTTGGCCATACACAACATTTTTGCCCTGCCTTGAAATCAAAGCCATCTCTTTTGTGTTCAGTTCCAAGACCAGCCACAGAGATGGTAGAAAAGAAAGTTTGCATGGTTCCTGTTCTAATTAATGGGGAGAAAGCCGAAGCTTTGCTTGACTCTGGGTGCTTCCAGTCTCTAGTACAAGCTAGCCTGATCTCAGAGGAAAATCTGAATGGGGTGGGGACTAGAATAAGTTGTATACATGGGGATGAACATGTTTACCCTACAGCTGAGGTTTATTTGACAGTTGGAGGTCAGACTTACCTGGTACAGGTAGCTGTGGTTCCCTCGTTGCCTTATTCAGTCATACTGGGAAATGATATCCCCACTCTCTTTGATCTTATACATCAGTCAGATCATGATTCCCAAGTAATCAATGACGGAGACACCCAGAGCTCAGTTGATCCAGTAGAAGCATTACAAACAAGACCATTGAATCCATGTCATGTCATCACAAGGGCCCAGAGTGCAAAGACAGGGCTGGAAGAGTTACCTTTTTTCAGGGAATCTCTGGAAGCACAGCCAGGAAAGACTAAGAAATCTAGAGCTCAGAGAAGAAGGGATACGTTTAGAGGTTTGGGTGGTGGGAAGACAGAACCCTTATCTAAGCCAAATCTCTTTGATTTTGACATTCCTTCAGATTTGGGGGCACTGCAGAGAGAGGATCCTACTCTGAAACCCTGGTTTGAAAAAGTGACAGGGAAAGGGGAAACTAATCAGTGCCAGGTAAACTTTCTAGAAGATGCAGTCTATATGATTAAAGGAGGCATCTTGTACCAGAAAAAGGGAAAGTGTGAAGCTTTAGCTCTCCCACAACAGTTCCGATTCAAAGTTATGGAGCTTGGGCATTCAATTCCTTGGGCTGGTCATATGGCTTTTCACAAGACACTGAGTAGGATGAGCACCCGTTTTGTCTGGCCAGGAATGTATAGTGAGATATCAAACTTCTGTAGTTCCTGCAAAAAGTGCCAGTTGACTTCAGGCAAAGGTGTAGCACGAGCTCCACTACAACCACTCCCAATTGTTGAGACTCCTTTTGAAAGGCTAGGCATGGACATTGTGGGTCCACTAGAAAAGAGCTCTACAGGCTATCGTTACATATTGGTGATATGTGATTATGCTACACGATACCCAGAGGCCTTCCCACTTAGATCTATTAAAGCCCGCCATGTTGCTAACTGCCTTCTGCAACTATTCTCTAGAGTAGGAATCCCAAGAGAGATTCTTACAGATTGTGGAACAAATAAAACCTCAAGTGGGGAAGATGGAGGCAATCCAGTCCTTCCCAGTCCCAACCACAAAGCGGAAGGTGAGAGGATTTCTGGGTTTGGTTGGCTGGTACAGAAAATTTATACCTTCTTTCGCAGACTGCTCAGCTGTACTGACTGATCTAACAAAGGCTTCAGCCCCCAACAAAGTTTGCTGGACAGAAGAGTGTGATCGAGCATTCAAGGATCTCAAGGCCGCAGTGTGTTCTGACCCGGTTCTACACTGCCCAGACTTCAGTAAGCCATTCATCGTGCAAACCGATGCGTCAGGAGTGGGGCTTGGAGCGGTCCTTCAACAAGAGGTGGAGGGTGAAAGGAAGCCTGTGGTGTTTTTGAGTCGGAAGCTGCTTGACAGGGAGACCAGGTACTCAACAGTGGAGAAAGAATGCTTGGCCATGAAGTGGGCCATCGAAAGCCTCAGGTATTATCTTCTTGGCCACCACTTCACTCTAGAGACTGACCATCGGGCCCTTCAGTGGTTAAGACGCATGAAGGATGCCAATGCCCGCATCGCTGGATGGTACCTGTCTCTGCAGCCTTTTGATTTCACAGTTCAGTACAAACCTGGAAAGTCCAATGTGGTTGCTGACTGTCTGTCCAGGATACACGACTGAGGTTCTGGCTTAAGAGAAGGGGGAAGAAATGTAATGAAGAGGTCTTCATTACTGGGACTATTTTTATGTAAATAGCTTGTAGCACTTTAAAGGGGCCTTTGCACTTTATGAAATATCAGCTTGCTTAGCACTAGGGCACTTTATTTAGCACTGCACTTTAAGCATAGATTTGCACATAAAGAACAGTTTGCACACAAGGTTTTAAAATATTTATTGAATATTTATTGTGTATTTTAAAAGTTAGCATGTAGCCTTTTGTTCCAGGCTCTCCACAGCTGCTCTCCATTAGTAATTGGGGTGGTTGTCTGTGGAAAAGAGAATTGATGTTTAGAGCAAGCAAGGGTTCCTGTTTAGAAACTTCAGCAAATGTCAGTGTAAAGTCTGTTAGAAGTGAGTGCCAATGAAGTGTTGTGGTGCTGAGAAAGTCACTTACCTGTCTTTTCTGTGTCCTCTCCAGGGTGTTTGGACAAATGCTTCCCCGGGGGTCCAGACAACATTTATAGGTTCTGGGAGAGGCCATGGAAAATACAGGGGGAGTTGTGCACATAGTTTGTGGGATTTCTATAGTGTTTGGGTGCAAGTTAAATCAGAAAATGTTTATAAAAAAAATAACCTTAAGTGTATGTTTGTAGATATTTGATTTAAATGTGTATTTTTTTGATGGAAGCGAGGAGTTAATTTTTTTTGTAAATGGTTTAGTCCATCAGCTGTGTCTATTTAAGCTAGAGATTGTGAGTTTGATGGAGACTGAATGCTGTGGAGCCTAATAAACCTGTTGATGCCTCAACTTTACTCTGCCTGACAAGTTCATTGCCTCACTGAAAATCCAGCCGAGAGGTCGCCTGCTCACAGGCACACAAACCGTTTGAAGATCAAACCCTATAATTAATTATTTCCATAGAATAGACGAGTTTCACTGCTTTAGATGACTGGAAAAAATACCGCCCTTTTACACAATACTGTAATTGTTTTGCATATAGCAGATAAGAACAGATAGACAAACTGGTTAAAGCTGCAGTCCTATGCCTGTGTGGTGCCTACAGTGTGAGCTAATTTGCAGCAATTGTCCCTAGATGGGTTTTTATGAAGAGCATGAAGTTTTATGTCTTCCATATTAAGTGAATACCATCGAAGTTTCTTTTGTAAGGACTGGTCTAAAACATGCCAGCTACTCTCATCTAAAATAAAATCAAATGTTAAATCAGAACTCTTTTGTGTTATTTTTAGAATTCATCAGGGTTTATGGAGGTTGACATTAATTATATACTGCCTTACAATTTTACAGAGTGGAAACATTTATAAAGTAAAGAGAATTGGCCATCCCACCAAACCCTGTGGTACTCCACAAGAAAGGTATATCATTATGATTAACAAACTGGAATCTAAAAAATGATTAAATCAACAAACTCCTGTTCCCTACAGCATTTCAAAGCCTTTCTGAGAGAGTAAAATGATCGACTGTTTAATGCAGCACGGAGATCTAATATTACTTATAGAAGTAAGTCCATTATATAAAGCAATGAGAATATTAGCATATCATTAGTAGGATACATCAGTAGAACAGGTTCTGTTCAGCGATAAGCTCTAAGACCTGGCAGAAAATCTTCAGACTGGTAATTAATGTTTTCAGATGTCAAATGTTGCCATTGACATGTTAACATAAGCACGATAAAATTGCAAAAGATAAAGAATATTTGTCTAACTTCCTCTCCTCCGTAACATATGGCTGCTGGCTGGTCGGTTCGATTGGGGAAGTGAGTTTCCAGAATGTAAATCTATCTATGGCACATCCCTACAAAATAAAAAAACAAAAAAAGCACTTTTTTGTACTGTAAGTTAAACATATTGCCAACTTTAAAGTGCAAAAGCATATTTCTCTGTTCTGACCATGTGTGACCTCCCCTTCATGAATATAATCAGCCTAACATTGAGTGGGTCTATACTCTTCAACATGTCACATTACATGGACACTACACGATGTTTGCATAGCCTAACATTAATTGTAGATTTAATACATTTATTTCTGGTGAAGTTATTCAATTTTAACATGCTAGAAAACTTGCCAGAAAAGAGAGTCATATCAACCTCGTTGGTTTATTGCGCAGCATGTCCAAAATAGCTTGCTTATTAAACTATATTTTGCACTGAACCACTGCAACTTGCACTGAACCACTGCAACTTGCACACTGTCTCTTATCCTCTGCACTGTTCACACTTTGACCACTGCTGCACTTTTTGTATTTTTCTATAACTCGTGCCATTGTGAAATATCAATGCAACGTTCATAAGCTGTATGTAACGCAATTTCGTTCTGTATGCACCCTGTGCATACAAAATGACAAATAAAGAAGTCTAAGTCTAAGTCTAAGTCTATATTTAAAGAATTGCTTTAAATAGAAAAGTAGAGTATAAAAGATATATAGGCTATACCAGCTGATTTAAATTATTGTGAAAGTAGCGTTTATTGAGTCTTTCCTAACAATTACCGCTAAAAAATAAATAAATAAAATAAACATTAATTTCTAAATGAAGATAAAAATAATTAAATACATCAGAGAAAACTGCAAATAAGTGTAAACAAAGTTAAGGCAGAGCAGCTCGTTTGTGAATCGCTGCGGCAATAAACGGAGCTGTACAGAGGAACAGACATTCAACATCCGGGCAACAGTAAGCTTGCGCAGAAACGGAATGGCGGAGGTAAGTAAGCGAAAACGAGGAATCTAATGAGGCATAATGTTAGAGAAACTGAGCTGAATTCAGAGCGTATGTCAACCCTGACGGCACCCGGTAAGAGCGACGGTATTTCCGGCTGCTGAGCGGCGGCTGTAAAAGAGCTACGGAGGGTTTTTAGCAGCGGGGAGCTGAGGTGGAGGAGAAACGGAGAGCCTCCCCGGCGTAGATCGTCTCTCTCCGCGTTCCTGGCGTTAAAGAGCCATTCTCCCCTCTGCCTTGATAATAGGGCTGTAGAAAACAATAGGGACCCCGGGGCCGCGCTGGTGCTGAACTATTTCCAGGTGCGTCTTCTCGGCGGGGTGGGTCGAGTTGAAAAGTTTTGTTGACATGACATGACTCTAACTTCCACCGTGTCTCTCGGAAACATTAAAAACTAGTAGTTTCCTTCTTGCAGTGAGCCGGGTGGAGGAAGAGACGTTCAGCACCAAGTCACAGGAAAGCGCCCCTGGTCAGACAGCGCCCGATGGGGCTGGCATTAAAAACGGCTTCTTTCTGCACTTTATGTGCATTTCAAGTTGGTTGTGCAATTTAATAACTGATGGCACTTAATCTGATCAAAGTATTTGGTTGTTAGGCTTCCTTTCCCTAATACCCATCATCCAAAGTTTTTTTTTTTCATTTTTAGTTATTTTCTTTTCTTGCAAATTGAGTATAACACAGGCCTGCAACTGGCTGTTGAGACTGCATAAACGTGCATTTTAGAGAGCACCCTGTTAAACTAAAATTTTCTCACTTTCAATTAAAAAAATAAATTCTAGCTCTGTTGTATTTTTTGGGGGAAACATGCTTCATGAGATCAGAATAGAGTAGAATAGAATTAAACTTTATTCTCATTACACTGTCACAAGTACAAAGCAAAGAAGTTAACTCTGCATTTAACCAATCCCCTTGGGGAGCAGTGGGCTGCCATCATGCAGCACCTCGGGGAGCAGTGTGGGGTTAAGGGTCTTACTCAGGGACCCAGAGTGGAGGCTGTGGGGATCGAACCGGTTACTTGCAACTTTCTCAGAGCATTTATGTGCAATACTTTAAAACTCTAGTATCATTAATTATTTATAATCCTCCATCCATGCATCCATTTTCTGACACGCTTAATCCCAAATGGGGTTGTGAGGGGTGCTGGTGCCTATCTCCAGCTATCTACGGGCGAGAGGCGGGGTACACCCTGGATAGGTCACCAGTCCATCGCAGGACAACACAGAGACAAACTGGACAAACAACCATTCACGCACAGACTCACACTTAAGGGAAGCCAATTAACCTTAGAGCCATGTTTTTGCACTGTGGGAGGAAGCCGGAGAGAACCCATGCATGCTCAGGGAGAACATGCAAACTCCATGCAGAAAGACCCTGGGCTGGGAATCAAACCCGCAACCTTAACTATTTTTCCTGGATAAAAATAAATAATAAGATGCTTTAAATGATCAACAGAAATCCCAGTATCAGTCCTACACGGGATATCAGAAGTCTGCACACCTCTGTAAAACTTTGTAAAACTCTTTAAACTTTTTTGTGTGTTTTAAATAACTATGCCAAAATTAATGACTAACTTAATCACTTTATCTTCAATAAATACAGGCTGGCTATGAAAGTGAAAAAAATCTTAAACAGAATCTTTATTCAAGAAGCTGTTTTTTTATCACAGTTTTCTCAATGACATTTAAAGGCACACTGCGGACTTTGGAACCTAAAGAGTAGATGCATATGAGTTATTTTAAATGATTCCTAAGGCCAATATATGATGCTTGACACTATCGATGCTACAAGTGGGGCTCCCTTCTTGAAATACCGAATATGTAAGTTTGGAGATGACGGAACGTCGTTGGCCAGGTCATGTTACCTGGAAGAACGTATCACTTTATGGCCACAGGCTCTTATATCATCATGAAGCTAAGGCTTTTGCTCTACTATTTTCCTGCCTACTTGACTATTGGTCATGGCTGAGGCAAGGAAGAAGTTTAAACATTCTGAGGACGTTAAAAAGAGTAGCTCATGGAAAGGACTTTATTCGTTGGCACCAGCTGAAAAAAAAAAGCTGGATGTAAACCCGATCCACTTTTCTCAACTTTATTCTTTGACTTGTGACTTAAACTTTGCTCCTAGTCTACAGTCATATATCTTTTAGTATTTCAATGTTGTCAGGGTGCTGCGGTGGTTTCTATGCCGGCACACTCTTTGTTTTTCTCCTATTGACTATATGCGGTTGTTCAGCTCCGAATCCCAATTCGAGCAACTTCCACGAGTCACACATCTCTGCCAAGGGGATCAGCCTCTCATCCGCTTCACAGCCTCTCAGAGATTCAACCCATCATGCCAGCGCTCAATCAGAGCAATGCCCAACTGACTGTAACTTGCCGTCACCCTGTAGACTCATCGGCCGAGCCCTGCCTAACCCTCTACCAAACAGCCTCCTACCGCTTTGCAGCCACCTTCCCCCCTGCAAGCTCCTGCATTTCCCACCTACGGACCTCCCCCGTCCCGCTCACTCCCCTACGGTGGATTGTTCAGGTCTCACGCGGTAAGCCTTTTTGTGCTGTAGTTCTCATCTCATGCTCCCTTCGTTTCGACGCCCTGAAGAAACTCAACGTGTCGTCCTTGTTTTTTTTTTTTTTTTATAATCTTAAATCTGCCCTACCAGTCTCCTCGGCATGTTCAGAATGTGGGTCAGAGAATAAGGGACCATGACAGATGTTTAGCAGAGGCAAAATACGGGCAATGACAGATCTAGCGCCCTTTGTGGCCAACAGTTACACAGTGTGCCTTTAATGGACTTTTTCTGCTTTAGATTGGTTGAAATGGCCACCTTGTTTGTATTAGAAGATGCCTGAATAGATCATTTTCTAAAGTATTTGCATCAGTATTTGACAGAATTACATTTACTCTTTAAACTAGGTTAAACAATTTTTGGTTATCCTTCTACAAGCTTCTCACAAATGCTTTTCTCATCTCAATTCACCAATTTAATGCAGGAGTTTGATCAACGTTTTGTAACAGCAACAGCCCCCAACCCACTGACTTTGCTTCCTTAATATTACTGTGAAGTCCTTTTGCATTTGAAAGTATTGTTAGTGCCCTTCATGCAATTCCCTTTGTGATTTATTTAGTGTTCATGATATCATGAAGATAGGGGTATTGTATACCTCTATCTATTGTGGATACCCTCTATCCATAGAGTTTGACTCTTTGTTTGTTTATTTAGTTCACTTGTTAATTGCATGATCCCTATTTTTTAGGTTGTTTTCCTGAAACTGGTTTGTTGCCTTCAGAAGAAGTTATTTCAAAATTTCTGCAGGCGTTGAAATGTAAGAACATACGTTTGTCCCAAGCTAAGGAAAAAAAGTCAGGAATAGCCTTCTACAACAGTAGACATTGATAAAGGAATAACCAGCGATGCCTTTGATCAGCCATACCAAAGTCCAGTCCTCAAAAGTTACTGTCCTCAAACATTTGGATGTATATCTGCTCTAACAGACTGAATTAAATGTTGATTTGATGTGACACCACCTATCAATTAACCAATCCAACGCCCGTCAGCGGCTGACTAATCAGCAATAACGATTCGCCCAAAAGTGAAATTGGTCTCTCCAGTAAGAGCATCCTTTGACAACATTGCAAGGATTTTGCATTACATAGCAGAGGTAAAATAAGATGGCTAATAAAATGCTAAATGTTGTCAGTGGGAAGTATGTGGATCAATAACATTTTACCCAAAGTATTGTGAGGGTGGAACACAGATGATTCCATTTTCAAAACTAAAAAGGAGTGTTGGAAAATGTAAAAGACTTACAGAGGTGTGCAAATCTTTTCATAGGAGACACCTTGCAGATGCAATTCAACCACCCTGGGTCGTTGTGTTGTGCACAGTCTTTGTAAGGTGTTTAAACAATGACCTTGAACTCTTGCTTGACAGAATTCGCGGTTTATGGCCAGTTGAAGTTTTTGATAATATCTTTCTATTTCAGTTGATAACTGAGTTTCAAGCTGTATATAAACTTGATGTTTATGAGATCCTGCTTAGAATTCTTTTTTGACCATACCTCTGACTATATTCATAAATTATACCTGACTCTGTGTTAGTTTCCTTTTATGAACCTGTACTGGCTTTGGAAAAAACGCTAACAAAAAGCGACGATTAAAAAACAGCAACAGGAAAATCCACCGGTGTCACCTGCACTAAACCAGTACTTAAAAATCAAAATTCCTCCTGGTCTAGCTAAAAAGTCTAAAGCCTTGTACTACCCCAGTGTGATCTTTGTTCACAGTTAGTTACTGAGGCAGGTCCGGATGGCTAACACCAAAGATCATTTTGGTGTGCCCCAAATTTGGTTTGTTTATTTCCATTACATAGACGCCCCAGTAAAGGACAGGTGTTAACCTCCATTCCTCCAGAGCCTGGTATTCTGCAACCTTTAATACACCTGACTCACATTATTGGGTCATTAGGAGGACTCTTTAGAACCTGAGTGCAAGAGGAGGTAAATCTGGCTGTGTTTACACCAGTGTTAATTTCGTCAGCTTTTTAAAATTTAGTCTTAGTCTTAGTCACAATAACAAAAATCAGTTTTAGTCTTAGTCATATTTAGTCATTGCCTTCCTGATTTAGTTTTAGTCTTAGTCTAAATGACGAAAACCGATTTTAGTCTTAGTCAAATTTAGGGCTGGGTAAAAAAATCGATTTGAATCGATTCCTTTACAATTTTGCAGAATCGATGTCTAGGAAATGAGATCGATTAGTTTTATAGTGATGCGCATGACATTCACATTCAAATGAGCAGGAAAGATGCACTAGAGATTAGGGCTGTCTCTAACGATTATTTTAAAAATCGATGAATCGGCCGATTATTTTTTCGATTAATCGATGAATCGGACAAAAAAAAATTTTTATATTAACTTCTTTATTCCAAAATAAACATTTTAGACAGAACAAACAAGCACACAAGTACAGGTTGCTCATTAACTGTACTGGTGCAATATGAAAAATAAATGTTTGTGTAAAAACTACGCAAACTTACATGAGAAATGTAGCTGTACATCCACAAAATATAGGCTACTTTGTTTCATAAAGCGCAAAAAGAGACAGGCATTTTTGTTTTTTAAAGCCCCTAAGGGGTTCAAACAATAGGTCCCCCCATTTCAACAAATGAGTTTTTTTTAGACTAGAAGAGTTCTGCCTTTTAAGACAGGAAAGTATAGCAGTTAAAGTTGCTACTTGAGAAAATACTGAACCATAGAGATAAAAATAGCCCTGTGATTCTAATTATAAATTGTATTTGGAATAAAAATGAGAGAACTAGGGGTGGTAAAAAAACACATCCTCCAAAGACAGATATTTACATGGGAATGTGGCAGATAATTAATTGACATATTACTGATCTTGCTGGATTTTGTTCTGCTTTACTTCCATAAATTGCAGGATCTTCTTTTCTTTATCTTTGCCAGAAGATTTAAACTTTAAAAGCCTTGCCCTCATAATTTGCAAGTTAATTTATTTATAAAGAAAATATAAACGCTGCTTAACCAAATTTAAATGAAATTAAAAGTAAAATAAGTAGCCAACCTTATCACTGTCTGTAACCTACTAACAAGGTAAGGAAAGCATCAGATGAGCGAACTGAGAAACTAACGTTACGTTTCTCCCCTCTTTAAAATGAAACAAACATGGTTACTCATCCTGCTGATCAGCTCTCTTCACTGCCATTGAAGGCCCCAACGTGTTTTCTTTTCAGGTGCTGCGTCATAACAGTGGTGCTTCCGTGCCATGTTCATTTGTTTTTACAAAAGTTGCATGTTACGACTTTTTTCACTTTACAAAGCGCAGGCTATTTTAATTATTGTGATCAATTTGCGCCGTCAATCCCGGCGCATGCGCGCTTCATTTGCAGTCTGGACGCTGAGGGTAAACTCCTCACTAAAATCCTGCGGCTCTGACTCTGACTGCCGCGCTGAGAGGGATTCCTGTGGGAGAGGGAGAAAGGGGTTGGGATGGGGGAGGCGCCCCACGGCAGGCAAAAGCCGCCAGTGACACCGTAAAAAGTCGCCAGATTTGTCGCCAGTCGCTTTTTTGAAAAATAGTCGCTGGAGGGGTCTGAAAAGTCGCTGAGTTGGCAACACTGCAACTGCGGCGCTGACTCGCTCCGTCATATTTTTTTTTCTTCCCCCGGATGACGGCGGCGGCGGCGGATGACGCATTAATCGCGCGACACAACTAATCGATGATTAAATTCGTTGCCAACGCTTTTAAAAGTCGATTTTTATCGATTTTATCGATTCGTTGTTGCAGCCCTACTAGAGATTACTTCAAGCCAGACAGCTGCAAATATAACAATAGGTTGACTGAAGACATTAACAAATGGGGGCTGACCAGCAAACACCCTGTAGTTGTTAAAGACAACACTGCAAAAATGGTTCGTGCAGCGAAGATAATGCAGCTAATGCAATACTGCTGTGTCCCCCCTGTGTCACATCTGCTTGCTCGAGTGAGGCTTCTCTTTTTCACTTTTTACAAACAAGTTTGCACTTATGAATGTACAAAGAGGGCAACAACGCATATTTTTCTATGAAGCTTATATCACTTATATTAGCTATTACAAATTAATTATAAACAATTACATTTCTTAATGTCCATTCGTCCGTGGCTCGTAAATTCTGTCTGGTCGTTAACAAATTTTAATTTTCATCATATTTATATCGTCTCGTCATCTTCACAGGAAAAAGGGGCATTGACGAAATATTTTTGTCATTGTCCTTGTTGACGAAATTAACACTGGTTCACACTGCAGACCTTAGTACTCAATTAAAATATTTTGGTATTTTTGTGAAATTCAATTGATTTGCATGGTCCTTCACATTTAAAAATACATGCAACTTGTATGTGATCTGCTGTGGGAATTGTATTCATACAACGTAGGTGTTCCACATGCGCAGAAGAGGACGCAATGATTTCAAAAGTAGCAAGCATGCCCTATGTTTATAGATGGTAATGCTGGAGCGCATCATTTATTTCCCAACTGGAGCCAATACATTAACAGTGCCATCGTTTCAAGAAGATCAAAAACAAAGACTGTTCTCTGCATTATCGTCCACCATGGTTGTTTTTCTTACCACTTCTGTGTAGCAAGACTCAGTAGTGACCTTTGTCGCGTATGAATGGGGTACTGGTTGGATTAATGCGACCTGGCCCTTCAGACCGGGGTCGCGTTTGAAAAGGTCAGATTTAGGAGCACATAGTCAAGTGGCCTGGGTCACATTTGAAAAAATCTGATCTTTGTTGTTCAGACTGGCATGAAAAGATCAGATAGATGTCACTTATTGGCAAATTAAATTAGATTTTGGTCACTTCAGACTGCAGTTTGAACGTAGCCACAGTCAGTTGAATCAGGTGTGTAGTGTGGACTCATCTGGAAACTTTGGCATTGTCATAAAGGTCATGAATTGTGCAGTCTGTGGTATCAGATGATGAGTTTAGTGTAATTTAGAGGAATCTCAGGGCTTTCACAGATCAAATGCCAACTTTTAGGCAGTTGCTGTAATCTGTTGTTAATGTATACTACTGAATTCCCTCAGTGACATTTTCCACTGGGAAATAAGACTTTTGCATATCCTGTTCAATACCTCTCGACTGAATATTTCTTATTCTGTTTGTTGTTGTTTTAAGCGTTCCTTAAAAAAGTTTCAATTCATCAAACTATTTTTGCTATTCAAGAAGAAAATGACTTTGCTCATACTTATTTTCAACTTTTACTATTACAGCCTGCTTCAATCCCTCTTATATTCAGCCTGGGGTTGTAAATTGTAATCGCTTAGATTTAACAATAAAGACTAACTTTACTTTATCAGTAAACCAGTAACCCTTTTTTAGCAGATAAAAATAACATAGTTAAACGTAAGTTAAATACATTTTTTAACTTCGTAATAAATACTTGTAATTTGCAGTTTTCACACTGACTTAGATGTCATGTGTAAGATTTTAGTTTTTATTTCCTTAACTCAATCTCTTTAGCTGTTTTTTTTTTCTTTGAATGACCTCCTTCCTCTGCCAAATTGTATTCAATTCCCACTTCATTTAATTTTATCCCCTCTTAAATTCTTTGCAATGGAGTTTCTCAAACAAGGAATTGTATACCCTAACTAAATTCAGCTCCTCGTATCTGTTTTTGTAATGTCCATGGACGGCTTTCCATGACAGGATGATCTGCATGGAGCTGAGCTGAACAAAATTTACTTTGCAAACTTCAAAGAAAAGTCCTACGTTTATGGCGCAGAAAACAGCATTCTTTGTAAGTTTTTTTTCACAAACAAATTACCCAAAATGCACTGACATATCTTATAAGTTCATTCAGTAGTAAGCCCTTTAGCTTAATATACTAGATAGAGATATATACTAGATATGATATTGTTGAAAAGTGTTTATATTTCAGTAACTGGGCTCCCAACTTGAATCACATTATACAAATTATTAACTCACAAATGTCCAACAACAGCCTCAGAATTGTCAGATATTCCCATAAACACTTCTCAAAAGCAATAAAGAAACCTCTCCAGAAAAGTTGAGGCTATTATGGCTTTAAAAGGCTGGCAGACATATTAAGTACTGTGGTTTTTAAAATGGGCTTTTAATCAAGTTCATGTTTTTGAAGGCAAGTAGCCCTGTAGCTTTGGTGACATAATGTATTTTGAGTTATAGTGCTAAAAGGTTTTAAAAGTTGTGTTTCAAAAGGCAGCGGTTGGCTGATTCATAATGTCATGAGCCAAGACAATCCACATGGTTTTGTGAATTTTACTGTGTGCTTCAGATGCACTCTGTGTATGTCGCCTTCACTTTCGACCACACTCTGTCCGACTCCTTTACTTGTCTTTGACATACAAAATTTGTGTTTGCAGGTAGGAGGAAAGTATATGAACTTCGGCACCAATGATGTGGCCCAGTGGAATGTGGGCAATTAGAGCAATGAAGGCTGTGATCGGAAGAAACAACTGTTTGAAGAAGTCTTAGAGGAGTTGGAGCAGAAGTTTTCCTGCTCCATGAAAATGGCAGCACAATCCCAAACTGTAAGTCCCGTTTTTGCCTCTTTATCATTATGTGTGACTATGGTGCCCTCCATTTTTTTTTTCCTCGAGTCAATATACACTTCAAACATGGTATAACTTTTATTCTGTATGCTGCACATCTATGGTGAAATCACAAAAAGGCCAGCCTTGTGGTTTAAAATGATTCACTAAGACTTCAGTTGGAAAAATCCCAGATGTTTCATTGAATTGTTTATTTGCAGGTGTCAGCTGGATCGTGTGCAGTATAATGATATTAGATCTTGAAGGGTTAGAAAGTGTAGACCATCTGCCAGAGTGAGGATCTAATCTAGTGTTTAGTAATCAAATTAATTGGCTGTTAAGAATATATCCCAAGTTTCAGAAATGGTGTCTGAATCAATTTTAATGCCCATATCCATTTCCACAAAGAAGGAACTTTACTCTGTTTTCCATCGATCACATTTTAATCAACATTTCAGAAATTAACCACAGTATATTTAAAAAAAAACAAAAAAACAACAGCATGGGAAAAGTAAAGAGTCAAGATAATTAAAAAGTATGATGGCAGTACATATTATTATTTAACTGAAGGCCTTAGCACCCCTTGGATGAGGATGACCAGGCCTTCCTTTGATAAAAACAAAAAAACAAACAAAACAAAATAGCTATCACTTTGGCCATCCGGGAGGAGCATCACATTGAGAAGAGGTGGGTCAGGGATCTTTTTTTGGATATCTTCTGGAGGCCTCCCTCCTGGTCCAGGGTAAAACCAAGGGATCTCATTTATCAAAGATTGCATAGGATCTTTACTAAAAGTGTACATACACCCAAAAGACAAAAGTGCGTTATCCAAAATTTATTTCATTTTTACCAAACCATGCTCACTCAGAAAAAAAAAAGCAAATTTCCTGGTTAAATCACACCTGTGTGCACAAGGCTCTTCCCCATATTCTGCCCACTAAACACTCCCATTCATCCTTGAACCATGCAAAGCAGCACATGAATGTCATTGTGTATTTTTACTGAGCCAGCTGAGCCATTATTATTTTATGGTTATAAATGGTAATGCAGAGAAAAAGTGGGGAAAAAACAACTTAACAAAAGCTAAAATAGCTCCATTGGATAGTGAGGCAGAGAGTGTGTATGGTAAACATTTTTTTTATACCAACAGCAGTGGAGTGACCAGTAGAAGGAAGTGTTATAAATGGCAACATAGTCTGATGTATGGAATGATCATATCAACAAAGACGTCCAAAACAGCAGGCTGTTTTTGGCTTTGTCCTGCCCGGGATGTCTCAGCTTTATGGATAAATTCCTTTTTCTTTTCTGAAAAATTGCTTCAGATCTCTTCTGTTTTTAGACTAGGTATACCACACAGACGATGATATGGAGAAAACGGACTGAATAATAGTGATGTAGAAGAGAACTAGCAACTCCTGTGGAGGGTTGTACCCTCAGAGTTGGGGCAGGTAGTACAGTCTCTGCTTGGCCTTCTTCCAAACAGTAAACAGAGTGTATGGCTCAATAGGAATACAGCAAATCGGGAAAAACTCTTAAGCGAAAGCAGTGACTGCCAATAAAAAAGCTGCCCAAACAGTGTTGGCATTAAGTCTGAATGCTTTTGTATCAATAGTTGATTTAGCATAGGAACCTCCTGATGATTTGGGAATTAGAAGCTTTACTGATTCCCACAATGCTTTGCATAACAGGATGTAAAGGCAGCTGTAAAGACAGCTGTATCCCCAATATGACAAGGAACATCCATATATGTTTCCATTGTGTAATAATGCCTTGAAGTCTAAAGGCTGTCATTCATTACAACAATCCAGACTTCCCTTTTTACCCATAATGGTGGCCCTACTGCTGACCCCACAGAAGGTAAAGAAATAAGAGTTAAGAACTGGAGCTAGTGGCTACAATTTCATTCTAATTTAGACTTTGTGTGAGGACTACCTCAGGTTACCAGAGAGAAGGGTTCCACGACAACAACAAAAAAAAACACAAAAAATATATATATATATACATACATACATATGTAGAGAATGCAATAATGTCACTAGTAGCAAGTGTGCTCTGTGTTTATGGTTGTACAGATGGATGGTAGTGCTGGATCACATCTAGCGATCTTCATTTCTATTTCATCTGGAGCCAGCACATTAACAAAGCAATCGTTTCAACGTTCAGGTCAGATGAATGTGACCTGGCCGTTCAGACACAGGTCACACTTGAAAAAAATTGGATATGTATCGGATTTAGAACCACATAGCCAAGTGACGTGGGTCGCATTGGAAAAAATCAGATCAGTGTTGTTCAGGTTACATTCACACCGCTGCCTGAAGTGACCCAAATCTAATTTTTTTGCCCAAATGCGACCTGGATCTGATCTTTTCATCGCTCTCTGAACAACCGACCCAGGCCACAAGAACACCTGCCTGTACAGGTGCTGGTCATAAAATTAGAATATCATGAAAAAGTAGATTGATTTCAGTAATTCCATTTAAAAAGTGAAACTTGTATATTATATTCATACATTACATACAAACTCATATATTTCAGATGTTTATTTTGTTTAATTTTGATGATTACAAATGACAACAAATGAAAATCTCAAATTCATCATATCAGAAAATTAGAATATTACTGAAGACCAATAAAAACAAAGGATTTATAGAAATGTTGGACAACTGAAAAGTATGAACATGAAAAGTATGAGCATGTACAGCACTCAGTATTTAGTTGGGCCTCCTTTGGCCTGTATTACTGCAGCAATGCGGCGTGGCATGGAGTCGATCAGTCTGTGGCACTGCTCAGGTGTTATGATAGCCCAGGTTGCTCTAATAGTGGCTTTTAGCTCTTCTGAATTGTTGGGTCTGGTGTATTGCATCTTCTTCTTCACAATACCCCATAGATTTTCTATGGGGTTAAGGTCAGGAGAGTTTGCTGGCCAATTAAGAACAGGGATACCATGGTCCTTCAACCAGGTACTGGTAGCTTTGGCACTGTGTGCAGGTGCCAAGTCCTGTTGGAAAATGAAATCTGCATCTCCAAAAAGTTGGTCAGCTGCAGGAAGCATGAAGTGCTCTAAAACTTCCTGGTATGTGGCTGCGTTGACCCTGGACCTCAGAAAACACAATGGACCAACACCAGCAGATGACATGGCACCCCAAACCATCACTGACTGTGGAAACTTTACACTGGACTTCAAGCAACGTGGATGAAGTGCCTCTCTTCTTTTCCTCCAGACTCTGGGACCTTGATTTCCAAAGGAAATGCAAAATTTACTTTCATCAGAGAACATGACTTTGGACCACTCACCAGCAGTCCAGTCCTGTTTCTCTTTAGCCCAGGCAAGACGCTTCTGACGCTGTCTGTGGTTCAAGAGTGGCTTGACACAAGGAATGCGACAGCAGAAACCCATGTCTTTCATACGTCTGTGTGTGGTGGTTCTTGAAGCACTCACTCCAGCTGCAGTCCACTCTTTGTGAATCTCCCCCACATTTTTGAATGGGTTTTGTTTCACAATCCTCTCCAGGGTGCGGTTATCTCTCTTGCTTGTACACTTTTTTCGACCACATCTTTTCCTTCCCTTCGCCTCTCTATTAATGTGCTTGGACACTGAGCTCTGTGAACAGCCAGCCTCTTTAGCGATGACCTTTTGTGTCTTGCCCTCCTTGTGCAAGGTGTCGATGGTCGTCTTTTGGACAACTGTCAAGTCAGCAGTCTTCCCCATGATTGTGTAGCCTATAGAACTAGAATGAAAGACCATTTAAAGGCTTTTGCAGGTGGTTTGAGTTAATTAGCTGATTAGAGTGTGGCACCAGGGGCCATCAATTTTGAACCTTTTCACAATATTCTAATTTTCTGATATGATGAATTTGAGATTTTCATTTGTTGTCATTTGTAATCATCAAAATTAAACAAAATAAACATCTGAAATATATGAGTTTGTATGTAATGTATGAATATAATATACAAGTTTCACTTTTTAAATGGAATTACTGAAATCAATCTACTTTTTCATGATATTCTAATTTTATGACCAGCACCTGTAATTGCCTACTTTTCAGGAAATCCCGCTTGAGGCTGTACTCTTCTTCCTACTTGCAAAGGAACTTCTGGCTAATCGCTACTCTTCAAGAGTTGAAAGTTGGTAAACCAAGTCATTTTTAGATATAATAAGGTCTGGATGAAAACTGGATTCTTACTGGCTGTAGAGTGTCAGTTAAACAGGGTAATAGGACATCTACAAATAAAGGCCGTTTCTCAATATGTGTACTTTAAGTTCTCATGTGCTCGTGAAACATCATCAGCCTCAGCCCTATTACTGTTCTAATTCACAAGAACAGCAGACCAAGAATGGACAAAGTCCCTAGATGTTGTTCTTGCCCCTCTGTATTTACCCAGCATGCATCAGAGCAGACATGTCTGTTCTCCAGACTGACAGCTCTCCCAGCATGTACTGTGGCAGCAGCCGCTTTCAATGCAGCACTCACAGAGCTCATAGTATTAAGTTAAATGTTCTCTTTTCTGTTGCCGTTGTTCAATAAAAGTACGTTTTAAGATCATTATACTTTTAAGTATCACTATATGGCCCATTTACCGATTTAATTCGTAATTTAAAGCCAGGTCTAATTCTAGCCTGTCTGCAGCAGCCCTCTCTCGGCATAGCCATGTCTGAAGGATGGCGAGTTTTTTGTTTTTTTTTGGCAAAATGTTGATTTGATTTGTTTTTATCTGACTGTTAACTATTATTCCCCCCAAAAATGAAAAAAGTAAGAATTTTTTATTATCTAGAGATTATGAATAACAGGAGGTGAAATGCAGCTCCAGACTTGCCGGGCATGTGGTGATGTCACGAGTATGCTTCTCTTCCAATTTACCCATAATTATGCTGCGTGCTCCTGTTCTCCCCAAGTCCATACTTTCCTGTGTTCTTCGCAAGAACATGCTTGGTTAGGACACAAGTCCGTACTCGTGTTCTTGTGAATTTTGTGATTAAGAAATGGCCAAAGTTGTTAAAG